CTGTTTCTGAGCTACTGGCATTAAAGTGGTGAGCGAGCGATTTGGCTGCCGCATCAATCAGTTTGCTCCGGAGCCCCTCCTTCCTGAGCTAAAATCAAAATGTGTGAGCCGGAGGCTAAAAAACTGTGCGCTAGCTCACACTAACTCCGCTTAGAGGGAGCACTGGTCAGGGGTGTGCTCTGTGGTTAGCTAATTGAAAGATATCTCCTAACTGCCCTGGCTTCGGTCACACCGTTTGCCTCTCACTGTGACGGAATGCAGACGATCACTGACTAGAGTCATCAGATGGGAAATCAAACACACACACCCCATGCATTTCCCCACGTTACGGGTATGTTTCTCTGCACTACTTGAAATATGTTTCTTAGAGTAGCCGTATTGCTCAGTTAGATTCGAGTCCAGCAGCACCATAAGAGACGAGCAAGACTTTCAGGGTAGGGAAGGCGGAGGAGTGCAGGACTTTGCGACTAACGCGGGACATGATAAAGGTTTATAAAATGATGCACGGGGTGGAGAGAGTGGGCATGAGAGAGATCTCCCCCCCCCTCCAAGTACTCGATCTCAAGGGCCCCCAAAGAAGCTGATGGGCAGTAGGTTCAGGGCGGACAAAAGGAAATAACTACTTTACACAGCGAGTGATTCAAATGTGGAATTCGTTGTGACAGAATGTAGTGGCAGCCCACAGGGATAGACAGCTTTAAAAGGGGATTAGACAGATTCATGGAGAAGTCTGTCAATGGCCACTAGCTATGATGACTGAGAGGAACCTCCACATCCAGAGGCACTAAACCTCTGAATCCAAGAGCCAGGAGGCAACATCAGGGGAAGGCCTCGGCCTCTGTGCCCTGTTGTTGGCCCTCCAGAGGGACTGGTTGGCCCCTGTGTGAGACGGGATGCTGGACTGGATGGACCCTCACTGATCTCATCCAGCAGAGCTCTTCTGATGTTCTTTTCAGGGGAAGGCCTCGGCCTCTCTGCCCTGTTCTTGGCCCTCCAGAGGAACTGGTTGGCCACTGCGTGAGACATGATGCTGGACTAGATGGACCCTCCCTGGACTGATCCAGCAGGGCTCTTCTGAGGTTCTTAGCTCTGACTCTCCAGAGCTCATACCCCCCCAAATCTTCTTGGTCTCTGAGGTGCTACCAGACTTGAGTCCGGCTGTTCTACTTGAAATATCTTGCTAATGCAAGAGGGCCTGGTGTGGCTTGTGCTGTCTCTCAGTATGCCCCAAATAAGCCTGCCGGCCCAAGCGTGTGAAAAGGAACCCAGCTCTCTTCCACCAGGAGGTATCTGCGCTCGCCTTTGGCTTAACCCTTTTCCGGACACTGCTGTGCCCTGCACAGACGCGGCCTACCAGAAGGAGAGGGTGTAGTCGCCCACAAAGGTCTCGCTCTCCCGCACCAGGAAAGTGCCGTCCTTTCCGCCTGTCTCCGTGCAGTACTCGTGCAGCAGCTTCTCGGCGATCTGGCGCCCGTCTCGGCCTCCGCCCAGTTTGCCGTGGAACCATTTCTCGGCGAAGTGCAGTTCGTTGTTGTTAAACTCCTAGTAAGGCAGAGAGAGGCAGCGTGGTATGGCCGTTAGCCTGCCAGGTTCGAATACCCACTCTGCTATGGATGCTTGCTGGGTAAGCTGGGCCTTCTCATGCCCTCTCAGCGTAGGGTAGCCTGCTCTTGTCAGATCTCAGAAGTTAAGCAGGGTCAGCCCTGGCTAGTATTTGGAAGGGCGACCTCCAAGGAATACCAGAGTCGTGATGCAGAGGCAGGCAATGGCAAATCACCTCTGAAACGTCTCTTGCCTTAAAAACAAGTCCAGCTTGCCACCTAGTGCTGCATAACACTAAAGAAGGAGGAGATTGGATTCATACCCTGCCCTTCACTTGGAGTCTCAGAGCGGCTTACAACAGACACCCTGTGAGGTGGGTGGGGCTGAGAGAGCTCTGACACAAACTGCTCTTTTTCAAGGACACCTCTGACAGAACTGTGGCTTGCCCAAGGTCACATCAGCAGGTGCAAGTGGAGGAGTGGGGAATCAAACCCCGTTCTCCCAGATTAAAGTCCACACACTTAACCACTACACCATACTGGCTAGAACTTCTGGCTGCCGGGCAATCTTAGGATCTCCTGGCTATTCTACACATACCCTGCCATACGATAATTATTATTTTACACCCTCTCAGCCTAACCTCCTCCGCAGGGTTGTTGTGAGGACTGAATGGAGGAGAGAAGGCTGCTTTCAGTCCCCATCAGGGAGAAATGCAAGACATAAATGAAGCAACGAAGTCAAACAAATTAAAAAAATGCAAGATAAACCCTAAAACTAAACAACATCAGAAGTCAAGAACTGCAGCAATGGTAAAGACTGCAACCAATAAAGCACCATAGCAAAAATGAATAGAGGAATTATCCTCTGATTAAAAAAGTACTGAAATCAAAAGGCCAGAGCCGGGCATCTGACGATACAGGATGAGGCAAAGGAAAGGGGAAAAGTGTTCCACAGTCGAATCTTTCGTGGACAACTGACTTATTCCGGGGCAGGGGGAGACCACGGAGCGGGGCCTGCAATGAAGAACTGAGCATCCCAGCAATTGAGAGGGCTACATCAATATTCAGGAGACCAGTTTGGTGTAGTGGTTTAAGAGCGGTGGACTCTAATCTGGGAGAATGAAGGTTTGATTCCCCGCTCCTCTGCATGCAGCTGCTGGAGCGACCTTAGGTCAGTCACAAGTTCTTTCAGAGCTGTTCTCTCAAGGACAGTTCTCTCAGCACTCTCTCAGCCCCACCTACCTCACAGGGTGTCTGTTGTGGGAAGGGGAAGGGGAAGGGGAAGGAGACTGTAAGCCGCTCTGAGACTCCGAGTGAAGGGCAAGGTATAAATCCAATCTCTTCTCTTCTTCTAACTCAGAGATTCACTGACTGAGGAAAATAATTTCACCTGCCTGGAGATCCCTCAAGCACCCAAAGGCCAAATCCTGTATGTAGCAGCACCACACAAAACCAGCTCAAGAAGAAAAAGAAGAAGAGATTGGATTTATCCCCCGCCCTTCACTACCCAAGGGCGTCTCAGAACAGCTGACAAACTCCTTTCCCTTCCCCTCCCCACAACAGATACCCTGTGAGCAATGTTCCCTCTAAGCTGTGGAGTCCTGTGAGCAAAGATTCTACTTTGTGAGCTACTGGCAAGAAAGTTGTGAGTGTGCAATTTGGCTACTGCATAAATTAGTTTCCTCTGGAGCCATCCTTCCTGAGCGGAGACAAAAATGTGTGAGCTGAAAGCTAAAGAACTGTGAGCTAGCTCACACTAACTCAGCTTAGAGGGAACACTGCCTGTGAGGTAGGTGGGGCTGAGAGAGCTCTGGCAGAAACTCCTCTTTTTCAAGAACAGCTCTGCCAGAACTATGGCTTGCCTAAGGTCATCCAGCAGGTGCAAGTGGAGGCGTGAGGAATCAGACCCGGTTCTCCTAGATTACAGTCCACGCACTTCACCACTACACCAAACTGGCTCTCAAGATGGGCTGACTCTTCCAAGCCCTTTCCCCTCAGCCTCAATGCCTCCACCCGATATGGGATATGCTAACTGGCCCCTCACATTCTGCAATTCAAAGGACGAGTTCAATTATTCACATTGCTTCTCCTCAGGATTCAAAAACATGTGTGGCCTTCCCCATTCCTCAGCCCCCTGGAAATTTCAGCCCCGGGCCCTCTTAGGGAGAAGAAGAAGAAGAAGAGGAAGAAGAGATTGGATTTATACCCCGCCCTTCACTACCCAAAGGTGTCTCAGAGCGGCTTACAAACTCTTTC